TATTTCCTGCAGAGTGATTAATTGGCTGGTGTGGTGACATACAGGAACTCTGAGCTTGACCCCGCAGGTAAAGGCTAACTGATATGTTAAGTTGATTACACAATTTCCTCTAAATATGTTGACAAGTGGTTTGCACAGTTGCCTTGACCTTTGCCCTTATAAATGTGCATTTATGAATGGCTTGCTTTTTGAGCCAAAGCCATCCTTATTTTAGATGTGGCATGTGTTGAGTAAACAGCCTGATATGCAACCCTGGCAGCCAGGTCAGGCTGTCGCAGTCAGTGGAAGGCTCTGAGGTGGCCGGATTCACATGGAACAGCAAGCCCCCCAGTGTGTTCCCCACTCCAGTAGAGTGAATTGGAAACATATTCCATAAACTGCTTGAGATGGTCCAGGAGTAGAGGCAGGTAAATGGTTTGCAGCAAATGACAAGTAGGTTTAACCCGGGTATTTCTTGCAGCTCTCTTTCTCCGGATGTCAGTCCATTTACACACACACACACACACACACACACACACACACACACAGAGCTTTTCAATTTTCTTCCAAAGTAAGATGGAGAAAGTTTTCTAAGGAGCATTTCTGTGCTGTGAGCATTTGCTTAGGAATATCATGTCCATTAGGTGGTCTAGAGAGTGTCATTGGATCGTGTCCTTAGGTGGTCTAGAGAGTGTCATTGGAGGAATTTTTGTTTAAGAGATGTTGCTTGCTTGTACTTAAGGGGGAGTGACAAGGCACTGCTATAAATGAGCAGGAAATGCAGCCTCAGGTATAAATCAAGCTGCTGTTTCAGAAAACAGCTGTTTGTGTCTTTATAAGCTGAGCACCTTTCCTGAGCCTGACATGTCCTGATATGATAAACAGAAAGATTGGCTAACACTGTTGATGTAGCTGGGATCTATCTGTGTGCGTCTCTTCCTGAGTGAATTAACCAATTGGTAAATGAACAGATTTTTCTGTGTATGTACAAAGATAATACCGTTTATGCTTTCCAGGTCTAGAGTATGACAAGCCCTGAGCTTGCCTGGCAAGCGATTTGCTGTCAGGGCGCAGAGGTTAACTGTGCACCTCGCTGCCCAATTCCGTCCTGCCCGAAACAGTGCAGAGGCTCCACAAATCGTCTTTATTCACTAACCCTTACATAAGATGAAGCTGGCTCGCCTAAAATGTTTACTGCTCTCCAGCAATGAGTCATGCAGTAATCTTTCTCTTGATTTCATTATTTCCCTCAGGTCTGTAGCCTTTCACTCCCTGGCTGGCTGTGGGCTTGGGGAGGGCAGGAGCCGAGTCTCCTGCCAGGTGGCTTCTCCTGACGTCGGGACCATTAATCATTAACAGCATTCCCGCTCCCTTGGCTGCTTTGTGGGCCCACCGGCACCCTGCTAGATGTGTGTGGATGAAGGGAACTCTTCGTGTCCACCCTCTTGCCTGGGAGGAGGTAGGGTCCCCAAGGCTTAGATTTAAACTCTACACAAAAACTCAAGTTTCCTGAACTTCCTGCCCCTGTGGAATAATCAGATAAGAGTCTGCTGCCTCTTAATTGTCCTTTTTATAAGGCTTTCTTAACCGAGGTGTTTCCAAATAAAGTATGTCAGAAGTAAAACTTTCAGATTTTATATAAAGAGACAACCCCTTTCCCACCAAAAGCTTAAGAATTAATATTTCACACAACCGCATGAAGCCCCTGGTCCAACCTGTAGACATTCAAGAGACCAACTATGCACATCCTGAGGAAACCCAGAACCAAGGCTGAGGCTGCCCTATGTGAGGAGAGGGGGCAGGGGGCTGGTGCTCTTGGACAAGACAGTGTTCTTTCCCTCAGTCCAAATACAAAATGGCGGTGTTGTGCAATCCAGCCTCACACTGGACAGACTAGTGGCCCTTGCCCATTAGAAGACCTGAAGTCAGGGTTCTATCCAGGCCATTTGTTTAGCCTCAGCATTGGCTTCCTATTCTTCACCCTCTTGCCACAGCCAATTAAGTCAGAAAAATCTGAGTAACAATTTAAAATAGTTACATGTTTATTTCCTATAGGACCATTCGTGTTTGGGGACAGAGTGTCATCCAGATTCCCTCTGCCAGTGTGGAATGCATGACATCTGTATGCATTGTGTTCCCTTCTGACAGTCCCAACAGTTCATTGTTGGCTGTGGTTGTTCACACCTGCATCCCTGCACTGCTGAAGGCTGAAGAAAGAGGCTTGCCTGGGCTACATAGTAAGTTCCAGGCCAGTCTGGGCTAAGGGTAGAGAAAGGAAGGAGGAAGGGAGGGAAGGAAGAGATCCCTCCCAGGTCTGAAGCAGGAATGGTGGAGCCGCAGCGTCAGCCCTCTGGAAAGGCAGGGAGCCCAGGACACCTGCATTCACCTTGTCCTTCTCGAGAAACCACCCTCCTTGTCAGGCCTCCTGCTCCTGTCCTGTGCCTGTCCTGTGTCTCGGCCACTCCCATCTGTGTGACTGTACTTTCAGTGTGGTCACACGCCTGTGCACTAGCCCCATCCCCACAGGATTCTACCCATAAAGCAGCCACAAGTAGGGAGCCAGCCAGTTATAGAAGTCAGTTATAGAGGTCAGTGTTTGTTTAGGTCAAGAAATAAAGTTTTGTGAAGAAATAAATGTTACAAACAGCACAGCTTCAAGAAAAGCACAAGTGTCATATCCATGTTATGATCTAACTATTGTGTGATATTGTTCATGAACAGAAAAGGGCGATACCTCACTTTTTCTCTGGCATGCACACATACATATACATTCTTATACAGATACACACAGTCACACACACACTTACACACACTCACATAAAGTTTCTAAAGGCACCTAACACATAAGCACTCCCAGGTAATACGAGGCTCTGTCTAGGTTGATCATGAAAAATGTCCCAAGATCTCAGTAGACCAACCCCTGTACTCTGTACTTTTTTTCTGTAATGCTATGATAAAGCTTAGTTTATAAACCAGACACAGTAGGATATTAGCAGCATGATTTAAAAACAAATAGGCAGTTCTAACATTACATTACATTATCATAGTATTTAAAGATTGCAAATTGTTTATTTCTGGAATCTTCCATCTGATATTTTCAGACCGTCATAACTGAAACTCTAAAGAGGGAACTGCTGTGGTCTTGATGTCAAGGGAAGCCTCTTGGACTTCCTTTCCCTCAGGAAGTACAGAGGTTGGGGCTGCGCCACCCACATACCTCCAGCGCCACGTCTCCATCCATCTCTGCGCCCGTGAGTCCACAGTACCAGAGGGGACATTTTCAGCCCCAGATGTTAGCGGTGTTTGATCCAAAGCCGGGCATAGCCGCATCCCGCTTTACCAGTGCTCACTAGTCTAGCTCGGCTTCCCCTTAGCTGGTTCCCAGAAAGACCACAGTCCTAACGACACAGAGCAGAGCCACCCCAGGAAACAAAGGGAAGGAAAGGGAAGATCATCCTGACAGTGCCTTGCGGCTGACGGATTTTATTTTCACAAGGTCTACAAAAAAATATATGACCAAATGAGCATAGTGCTAGAACCTCTCGCTGGGACCAGGACACATGAGGGACCAACCCTGGGGCATAGATGGTGGGAGAGGCTGCATTCACATTAGAGACGACTCGTGGAAGACCACTCAGCGAGTGAGAGTCGGAATGGACTCACTTGTCGGCCATGCTTTTACCTCTTGTGTTATGCTGACTGTAAGTCCTTATGCCTTGAAAACACCACTGTGCGCCATTTCCTAACCCGCCCCAGCTCAGTGTGCAGGCTGTGGCTGCCAGTCAGCACTCACTGCAGCCGCACGTTGCATGCCAACAGTTGCTCGCAGGTACACATGCATACACAATCTCAAAGTGAATGTCCTGTGTTCCTAGACACCCATGAGCCAAGCTGGAGACCAGGATTTAACTTCTATTTAAATTCCATTTAATGTGGCACACATCTTAGATGACTATAGTGAATGGAACTCGGGGCTTCCACTCACCCTGCCCTGGATGTCCTTCTGTGCTTCCTGTGGTTTGGAATTGCTCTCTGACTGTCCCCAGCAACTAGCAAATACAGTTAAGACCTCCTAGCTGTATCCTGGAATGGCTCAGAGCCATGGTTTGGAAATGGCAGGGCTCTGCTTGCTGGACACTGGCACCTGCAGAAGAATGGCTTTCTAGCCGATAAAGCCTCCGTGTCTGGAAGGCCCTGCTGTGCACACGGGTGGAACTCTTTCTCTCAGAGCACATACGTTTGTCAGACAGGGTGCAAGTGTCTTGCAAGGTCCCTTGTTCCGTAAGAAAGACAAGACAAGGGAGGTGGCAGAGCTGTGGTAGAAAAGCAGTTTTTCACGCCAACAGCGTCCACTGATAAGCCCAACCCCCACAGGGTCATCAGAGCACCTCCCGGCCAAAGTTAACTAAGCAAATGTGACTTGGCTTCTCATTTTATAATGGAAACATGTCCCAGGGAAGAAGAAAAGTCAGCGATCATGGCTATCATGAATGATGAATCTGACTTCTGATCTGCTTGACTTTCCTACCAAAGAATCAAGGGCGTCACTTTCTCATAGGCCTAAAATAGAAGATTGTATGATAAAAATACATTAATCGTAATAGTCCCGTTCTCAGCAAGGCTGAGTCCCTGGACCAAGTATGTTTGCATTGCTTATCTCATTTCTCTCTCTCTCTCTCTCTCTCTCTCTCACACACACACACACACACACACACACACACACACACACACACACACAGTCAAGAACCTTCTATTTCATTTTATATTTAAAGACAGTGAGACTTAGAGAGTTTCATAGTCATTTGTCCCACCTGGCCCCTCAGTCACCAAGGGACAGAGTCTAGACTTGAATCAAGATAGTTTGCACTTGATCCCGTAATAACAGAAAAGTCCCTCCACATCCTTCCTGGACCCAACCTTGCCTCCAAAAGATTCCTAAAAGGAAGAATGCTCAGAAGTGCTCTCGGATTGGTCCTCTGTGATGTGTGTGAAGCACCTAAGGGCTACGTTGTGCCACTTACCACAAAAGCTGCTGCTTTCCTCTTGGGACACCTAGAATAAAATGTAAGACTATTAGTAAGGGATCAACATAAACAATCCATCTTTGTTCCTCCTTAGAGTCTCGGGCTAGCTGAAAGGAAGTCCCCAGAGAAAACATGGAAATTTGGGTTTCTACAAAGTAGCTGAGATCAGGCCCTGTAACCTTGACAGTCATATACAGGGTTCCCTGTGTGTTGCCCTTTGATAACTAACAGTTTTACCGGACTGCCTTTGAAAAGTTCCGGGAGGAACAGACACACTTCCATGATCCAGTGCAGGCAGAGTGGCTCCACAGTACCCAGACCACAGGTTCAAGGGACAACCCCTTCCTATGTAGAGGAGGTGATAGCCAAGCCATTGGGAGGGGATCTCAGGAGAACATCGGCCTCTGCTCCTTGTTTCCTGTGTTGAGAAACCAAGGCCTGGGGAGAAGTCACTTACCGAAGGCCACCCAGCAGCTGTGGGGAACCTGCACTAGGATCCCTTCCAAGACACTCTTCCACTGTAGACAGCTGACATGTGCGCCTTAGGGTGACATCACCCACACAGGTCCTACCCATGGAACATCCTCATGCACCCTGTCTGCTTAGTCACCCTGTAATTCCCTTCAGGGTTGCAGTAGAACATTGCATGAAGAAGACTGACTGCCAGAGAGGCTGAGGCCTTTTGTCTCAGGTGGTTAGTTGCTCAGTGGAGAGCAATAAAAGCTCTTTAAATTAATTCTGTTCCATTTGTACAGTTGGTGACTCACCTACAGTAGCCCTGGTTAACTAATGTGTTCCCTGAGCCATCCTGGGTTTCTTCAGACTTATGGTCCACAGCAGAGATGCAGGGGAGTTCTCACTGCCAGCAAGCCCTTTGTTTCTTGTTCTGAAAGCTGTGCCCTGGGTGGCTATACACATGCAGATACTTCACCCACAGAGACCTGGCTATTTCTTTCCCTCCACTTTAAGGTACCTTGTTGAAGTAAATGCACTTGGCGAGGATTGGAAAAACTGAACTATTGTTCACATCAGTCCATCTTTGCCAGTAGAATATATTTTAGGAAATGCTTTTATCTTATGTGCTTTAAATATATCACTAGCCTTGGAGTTAGAGTTAACTCATTCAACTTATGGAAGCAGCCACCGTGTGACCCAATTATTACTAAGACCAGTCTTCACTGTCGCATAAAGCAGCCCAAGTAGACTCGTTTTCTGATGGGGTAAGTCTGGCCTCGTTTCTTATTAAATAACACTAATTGATGGTCTAAGAGAACAGCGTGTCACTTCTGTTCCCGTTCTCAGATGGGGAAGAAGCAAGCAAAGCAGGCTTACAGGCAGTAAGACATACAGACATACAGATCCGCAGACCTGTCTGCAGATTTGTCACAGGGACACAAGGTACAGCCGCATCCACAGATCTTCACTTTGCTCTGTAGTCACATGACTCAGAAAAGCTGCATTCTTTAAAAAGAGAAGCTGAGGATGGAGCAGACGAAGCCTGTCAAAACTCGCACACCACATTCCACAGCATAAGTGCTTCTCAGCTGAGGCCCAGCCTAAACTGAAAATATGGCCACAAATCAAAATGTGCTTAATACACCCAGCCTACCTAGGGAGCCTCCTCGCCTGGGGACATGACGCACTCTGAGTTTCCTTCTGGATACAGTGCTGACTCAGCTGACGGCTGAGAGAGGACCTGGTTCCACATTGGTGGCCCAGTCACTTTCTTCCCATTGTCACATCACAAGGCAAGGACTACCTGTGTGTCTGGACGCAGCCCCCTCCCCCCAGCTCTGCTTGCCCCTTGGCGGGCTGATGCAGAAGTCGTTGGAGAGGGACTCACGTGGGAGGTGGACCCTGTGTTTCTAAACAGCTCCCATTCAAGAATCAGAGTTCTTGATTTTGCTCTGTGGGTGTTTCTGTACCTCAGGGCTGAGGATATAGTTGAGTGGGAAGGCAGTGGTGGAGCACCACACAAAGCCTGACTCCCAGAGTGCTCCCCAAAGATACATCAGAGCCAATAATCCACTAGGAAGTAAGGGACCTGGGTCCTGATGCTCAGATACTTACCTGCACTTCAGGCCTCAGGAACTGGCCAAAGGTTGGACACCAGGATATTCTTAGCAACGCTGCAATAACAGGAATTTAGAGTAATCTAAACATCCGTCCACTGTAAGAAGGACTCATCCACTAGAATACTATAGACCAGTCAAAACAAATAGGTCCGTCCCAAATCTTCCCACTGATTCCAGATCACTCGACATTCTGCATGTAGGGTTCGATGCATGTTTCTAGATTAAAAAATGTTTAGTAAAACAAAGTTTAAAACAGTACCAGAAACACTTCATTTCCAGCTGGTGGTTACCTGGGGACAGAGAGAAGGGATCAACCACATTGATGACACCTCCTCTTTTCCAAAGGCAGCTCAGCCTTCACCGTCAAACTGCTTACAGCGTCTTGGAAGGAAAAAGGCAGACTTTATACATAGGTCTTGAGCAGCAGCCCAATGGAGAAATGGGTCAAGAGTTCCCCTTTGCAGCCTGGCCAGGGATAAAGTGAGGGGACACTCCTTTCACCAAGGATGCTTCATCAGCCCTAACCCAAGGTTCAAGAGAATTCCAGTGTAGGAAATAGTGCATCTGCCTACCCCCAACTTGATGAAATCATCTACAGTTGTTTGACTTTTAATGAAATCTGACCAAGTGTGCACATGAAGGCTCCTGTAGAATGGCCTTAATTTGTGCTTAGGAATGCATAATTTTATCAACATCCTTGTAATTAGATATTGTGCAATGGGATGAAGAATGAGCACTGCCCATTCCGTGGCAACAATGAGCTTCAGATCCTTGCTATCTTTGAGACAGCAGAGGTTTCCATAGACACGCGTGTCACGTGGTATCATGTGGGTTTGCGTATGTACACATCCAAGAAGAGAATGAACATTCCCAGGTCAGCTTTCCCTTCTCTCTAAGGGTAGGTTTTTAAACACATGCTCTACTCTATTCTCTTCCTTACTACGACCTCCCAGGTTTTCCTTGGCTTTCCTCTCTGGTCTGGGGAAAGCTGTAAATGCGGGAATCGGGGGCTCTGTGGCCCTGTATGTTAATGTTGGTGCTTTAGCTGGAGTTTTTGGGAAATGCTTGCCATCTCAGGAAGAATTAGTGTCATGAATACCTTCTGTTCAGGAGCTGAGGTGCGATTTTTCTGAGAGTGCGGATTATGTTTCTTCAGAGGGCACAGATGTGCCCTAGGATAGTCAGAAAATAGGCCTCTAAAGGGTACAGGGTGGCCTTGGTCATCTCTGAGATCCCACATCTCCTATGGTGAGGCAAACAGTAAGTGCTCGTAATTCCCTGCTATTAGCTGAAAGGAATGCCAATGCCTAATAATTAGCTATGAAAAGGCCCTGCAGAGGGTACCTTTGTTTCTAGATCAGAAGCCAAATGCCTGCAGAAGTAGACAGGACAGAAACATGCAGGGACAAGGCTAGCCAGATGTCACACGGCAGGAAGTAGAGGACTTTCATTGAACCAAAGTGTACATGGCCTATCTAGTCCAAGTATCTAGCCAAAGCTTTTCAGAAAGACTAGATAAGCCAAACAGCCCATTAATCTGCATTTCTGCTTAGACCACCAGGAAGGCTAATTGAAAAATACGTGGTGGTGGTGGTGGTGGTGGTGGTGGTTTTCCAATGAGAGAGGGCCCAGTCCCAAGCAGATGAAGAACTGGTCCTACCAAGTACCAGTTTAAGTTGGGCCCTGTGCAGGGGAATTGATTTTTACTCTGTGTGGGACCCTGAAAGCATCATACTCCACATCTCAAAAGAGTGGTCTCTAGCTGAAGTTGCTCACAGTGTTTCCCAAAGGTAGGCTGGGAAGGGAGAAGAAGACCTAGCCGTGTAGCCCACACTTGATGTAGACAAGCCTGTGGGCCTGTGCCCTGCTGAGAGGTTTGACTCTTCGAACTCATCTTGTTTAAAAGCAGAAGACCATCAGCCACTTCCTTCTGTCCGTCGCTACCTCCCTGGGGTGACCCCAGCTGTTCCACCCAAAGACAGTTCGATCCGCAGTACAGAATGGTTTCTCAGATAGCCATTTGTCCACAGGTTATGGCTCTAAGAACAGCAGGCCAGGGACCTCCCATTGGAATACATGGGATACTTGTGGATGCTCTGCCCAGGATTCACTGAGGCTGAACTAGGGAAACAGCATCTTACTCATTCCGTTAATTACACTTAATAGTATGATTGCAATTGTTAGGCACAGCGTTGCCATTTTAATAGCATTAGGCAATTTTTTTTGTGCGGCAGTAAGGTGTGCACCTTGAGAGAATATTAAAAAGCACTTTAAAGGGGGGGGGGAGAAAATGCTGATGTATGGTAGAGAGGGCGACAACACGGGCTGGTCACGCCTGTGCTGCTGTGAGTGTCCTTGTAGATGCACAGAAGCTGCACCATTCCTCAGGTCCATAGAACATTTTCTTCTAAATCACTTCAGAGGCAATTGGAGCCACTGTCTTATCTATTGACGTGTGGCCCTCACTAGATAAGAAGAAACAACCATGTGGCAAACCAAGCTACCCAGCAAGCATTCTGTGAGACCTGTAAAATGTCTGATTCTTGTAAAACAGGTAGTTTCTTTAGAGTTGTAATCACCTTTTTGCATAGGACCAGTAAAAACGTGGGCATTGTCTGTCTCTGTGCAGAAGCAAAGAGATGGAGCAGGAATCTCAGGCTCCTTGTAGATACTAGAGACGATGCACTGTAGAACTTCCAAAAAGCTGTTGTCAGAGGTTTCTGTCCTGCCAGATCCTACAGCCATCAGCTATTAAGTCTCAGTGAATCATACAGAGGTCTACATTAGTTATAAACTGATTGGCCCATTAGCTCAGGCTTCTTATTAACTAATTCTTATAACTTATATTAGCCCATAATTCTTGTCTATGTTAGCCACGTGGCTTGGTACCTTTTCTGGCGAGGCAGTCACATCTTGCCGTGTTTTATGTCTGGGTCTCAACTGCCAAATGCGCTTCCCTGTTCCAAGAATTCTCATTGCCGCGCCTCTACTTCCTGCCTGACTACTGGCCAGTCAGCATTTATTTAAAATACAAGTGACAGGGTGCAGACCATTGTCCCACAGCAAAAAGCAAAACACTAGCAAGTATAGGTTTCATATCATGTTCCCAGAAAGAAATGGCATGGATCTCCACCTGTTCTTGCTGATATAATCATTTGGAGGGGCATACATCCCTGCACGTGGCAGCCCCTTTGCTCAGGAAGTCTCCCACGATAGTGGAAGCATTCTACAGTGGCTCACACTTACCTGGGGCTTATCCAGTCAGGTGCCCAGAAGAAGTTACAAACATTCAGGTCTATCTCTGTAACAACGGAGTTTTTAAAACTCAGAATTCAGGGAAGGCAAGTGTCTCTTCTTAAGTGAAGAACAGCCAAAGTCAGAGTGTCACCACAGCGACACATCGGTGACCAGGAACTCTAAGCTGACAGAGATGTAGAGGAGCCCCGGGAACAAGCAGGCCTGAGGGTGTCAGTCCTAGTTCCTTCCTGCTGGGCTCTGGGGAGCCCCACTCACCAGCACTGAGTCGGCCAAGCCCCAGCCAGACCTCCCTTCTTTGTCTCAGGCCGTTTTGGCCTCTGATGCTCCAGTCCCTACCTGGGCTCCACTGTGCTGGTGAACTGTTGATGACGCAGGAGTTGCGCTGACCCAACGTTCTCGGGCAGTCTCCACCTCAGCAGCTGGAACTGTGAAGGGAGAAGCCACAGCTCTCGCCTGCTGTGTGTCTCTACGTGGTTCTGTTGCTTTCTGACCTTTGTGCTGGGCAATGGAGATGCTGAGGTGCTGAGGCAGACTGTCCACCTCCATGTCCCTCCTCCCTCCTTAGAACCAGATCCGTAGGGATAGTACAACCCAACTCCCTCCCTTTGGGGGTTCAGCTTAGTCTTTTAGAGCCTTCAACTCATTGCCTGAACTTTCTTTTCTAATTATCCTTTTTTATAATAATAGAAAGTTCTATCATTTATACATTCTGAAAACATATTTTACAAATCAAGTAAGACATGACCTCATGTGTACCTTACATAAACTGATGTGTGTGGACACTCTCCCTGTGACAGGCAGTCATAGAGTGTGTGTGCAGAAAATTAGCAACTGTAAGACTTAATGCTCTTTGGGAAAAAATTCTTTGCTAAGTTTTAATATCTGAAAGAAATAGCCAATAAACCTGTCTGTTTTGAATATTATGGTAACAAAACCCACAAATCCCCAGCCAGAAAGAAGAGCTGTCACTGCCCTCAGCTCTGAAGGGATAAAGTTTAGAGTTAGTTTTGTCTCATTCTGTCTTATGAGATTTTTCCCTCAAAGCTGCTCCTCACAGAGGGGAGACTCTAAGCAAATGCTAGGATGTGAGCATCCCAGCCAGGAGCCGTGGCCCAGCTGCTTGGGAGGTGAAGGCAGGGGTGAGTTCAAGACCAGCCAGGGAATGCCAGCCAGGAGCCGTGGCCCAGCTGCTTGGGAGGTGAAGGCAGGGGTGAGTTCAAGACCAGCCAGGGCAGCAGAGACTCATCTCAGAACGACAGTAATAGACAGCAAGCAGTTTCCCACTAGGATAAACTTTTACTCTTGAGACAAAACCTGCACTATCTGCAGTCTAATCGGGGGTCTGAAAGCATGCTCTGCAGTATTTGATAAGAATTTGCCATCATTTTCCCAATGACTATTCACAAATCAATTTGGTGATGAAAATTAGCTATTTTCTCCAAGTCTGGGAAAAGGGACCTTGCAAAGGCAAGCACAGACCCCCACACACTCAGATTCATGTCCTGCCATCTGGAGTAGAGGTAGCCAGGAGCACAGTGACATTGTTCTCTGTGACTACGTTTGTATGAAAAGAATTTTATATTTCTTTATCCCCACAGATGGAAAAGCCTTGATTTCAGACCATATCCCTAACTTTGTAGGGCTTATAAAAAAGAAAGAAAACCCTCCTAGGAAGAGACTCTCTAGGTCAGAGCAAAGCAAACCATCAGAGACTTTCCAGACATCTGCTCCAGGGTCAAGTCTAAAACCATAAGAACTCTAATGGCACAGGTAGGATCTAGGAGGCAGGAAAAGCCTGGCGTGTGCGTGTGTGTGTGCACACACATACACACACACACACACACACACACCTTCCTGCAACCGGACATGGCCCCTGATTCTACAGGAACGTGTCAGTAGGACCACCCCAGCTGGGGTGGCCTTCTGTCTAGGGCTCTGTGCTTCTGCACAAACAAGGACAAGCTGGGAAACCGTTGAGAGGAGAGCCACAGACATTCCTGGGGAGGAACAAACAAGTGGGGAGGGACTGCTGGCCTCTCAGGAAGTCATGAAATCTCCGATGGAAAGCATAGTCATATTTTTGTTATTACTTGATTTAACACTCCAGGAATTTAGCCCACGCCAGCTGTGACTCTCAGGGCCCCCTGCTCATTAAAATTCTTCTCTTTCCATCCGGCCCCTTTCTACCATTACTGACTGTCGCCTGCCTATTGTCCCTCAGTTGTCTGTGTAATTCTGGAATGTGCCTGTTCAGTCCTCCACAAAGATGCTGTTTTTCTCCCCTTTGTATAGGCTCTCGGTATGGGGTAGCCCTGGAGCTTGCTATGTAGACCAGGCTAGCCTTGAATTTGTGGCAGTCCTCCTGTCTCTCCTTCCTGATTGCTGGACTTGCAGGCATGAGCCACCATGCCTGGCTACTGAAGGCTCTTCTGTAACAGCAGATTATTTATCTAGAAAGTAAAAGTCCATCTTAGAAATTTTAGAGACGCCTAGTGATGGTGGTGTACACTGTTAATCGTTAATCCCAGCACTGGGGAGCGGGGGTGGGTAAGGAAGAGGCAGGCAGATCTCTGAGTTTGAAGCCAACTTGGTCTACAGAGCTAGTTCCAGGACAGCCAGCGCTACACAGAGAAACTGTCCCGGTGGGTGGGGGGAGGAGGAAAGAAAGAAAAGAAGAATGTTTTGAGAGTTACGGAAGGTGTATTGAAAACAAGCTAGCGGCACGAGTGATTCCGTACACTGCATGCTGGCTGTCAAGCTGTGCCTATTTACCACGTATCCAAAGTCATCTAGAAGACACCAAGAGCAGCAAGAAGGTGACTCAAGTGTCCAGACCCCTCCCTTCTCCCACAGCTAGGCTTTGTCTAGTCACCTGACAGTTGACGTGGCTCTGGGACTTCGGAAGACACCTGTGTGTGCAGTATCCACAAACCTGGGACTGCAGCAGGGGGAGGCGGCGATTTAGATTGGCTTTAGGAAGAGGAAGTCAGCCGTGGTTTTCTCACATAGAAACTATGCAATATATTTCTCAACATGACCTTTTACTTGAAATGCCAAAAAGCTATGTGTTCATAAAATCTGGGGCCTGGGACTCTAAGAAGTTAACCAGAATGTGCTAGAAGATGGCCCTTGTCTTGAGGAGAACCCACTGCCCGCCAAGGCCAGGGCCACGCTGTCCACCTTCTGGACTTGACTCAGGAGGCTAGGGAGGCCCAGAAGCACTTGGTACTGATCCTTCTAGCCCACCAGGCCTGCACATGGACCAAATGCCCCTGCACCAAGCAGCGCCCATAAACGAATTACAGAACTGCCATCCGTTACTCCCAAACTGTTTTCTGTTGTTTAATTAGAAAATTCATCTTATTTTGCCTCCAGGCCCTGTAGCCTTATTGCATTTGCACATATTTCAAAATGTTTCAAGTACTGACCAGATAACATTAATGACTATATTAGATAGGCAAACGCTTTTAAACAAAAAAATAATAAACATCCTTGTGTGTGTGTATTAAAAAAATGCTAATTCTGTCTGGAGCCAAACAGGTAATTTTCCCCTCAGCCTTTTTTCAGTCAGCTAAGACAGGTTGGGCTGGGAGCGCAGTCAGCCTGTCTGCAGACTGGTTTGCCTTGCATACCAGGGCCTGAGTTTCTTCAGAGACAGACAGCGGGATGATCTGATTGGCTGGCATCCAGAGCATGCTCACAAGGGCCTCTTTGATGAAAGGGTTCTTGGTTAAGTACTGTACCAAAAGCAGCCTACCACCCTGCTTTCAAAGATACCCATTTAGAGTAATTCCCAGAAAGGGAAAAACAGCTAGAAAAAGAGAGCGAAGGAGGGAAGGGGAGGGAGAAATGGCTGAGCTACGGGGTTACCACAATAATTACACTCCCTGGCCCACAGAAGGGGGAGTTATTCCAGGTAAAACTGCTGGATGTTGAAGGACCTGGCTGGCAACTCGGCAAGAACATAAGGAATGTGCAATTAAGCTCATTAAAACATCATCATTATGCTTATCAATCTTTCTCCAAAAGAGGTGGGGTGGAGCAGTGTGTCACCGCATGGCGGCCTCTGCAGATAAAGATCCGGGGGAACGTGGTTGCTTCTCTCAGCAAACAAAATCAACCATTCAGTTCCACACAGCATTTACAGTTAGGCAGCTGACATTGACGAAACGGGGCATGCCTGAACTCAAGAAGAAGCATCCAGGAGCCTAGCTCTGCTCTGAGGGCACACTTCCTTTTGATGGGATCCCCATCAGAAACAAGCTTTTATAGAAACCCCAGATGTGCCCAACACGGTATACAAGGAAATTCTGAAATCTTCTGTATAGCCCGAATTCAGCCTGCTCCACACCATTGTCTAAATTGAGAAGGTGGAACCTAGACATTAATTATCAGTTAAGCAAATGGTGTGTACATGTGTGTATGTGTGTGTGTTGTCTATGGTTTGTGTATGTGTGTGTGGTTTGTGTGTGTGTGGTATGTATGGGGTGTGTGATGCGTGTGGTTTGTAGTGTGTAGTATGTATGGGGTGTGTAATATGTATGTGTGTGTATGTGGTTTGTGTGTGTGTGGTATGTATGGGGTGTGTGATATGTATGTGTGTGTGTATGTGGTTTGTGTGTGTGTGGTATGTATGGGATGGTGATGTGTATGGTTTGTGTGTATGTGTGTGTGGTTTGTGTGTGTGTGGTATGTATGGGGTGTGTGATGTGTGTGGTTTGTGTGTGTGTG